TTTTCTCAGACAAACATTGATGCAGAAGACATCTATCTTTATTTTTCATGCTTTCGTCTGATAGAGTAAATCTTACCTCCTCTGAGATAATCTGAGCGCATATAAAGCACATATAGGATAACAATATACATTTTTTTTAAATATCCTGCATTTTTTAAAATGAAAAACAAAATAAAGACTTACTGTTACTTAATTTTAAAGACAGAGATCACAAAAGCAGAGAATTTATGTAAGAATACCTTTGCAGTCATTCTTTTTTAGAATCTCTTTCTCCCTCTCTCTCTCTCTCTCTCTCTCTCTCTCTCTCTCTCTCTCTCTCTCTCTCTCTCTCTCTCTCTGTACTTGATAAACGGTACATCATATTTAAGCTGCAGATGGTAAAGAATGTTTGTCTATAATTTTATGAACCTGCAGTCTAGTATTCGAAATTGTTTTATGAATCTTTGTGTCATTTTAATTAATAAACAATAACAATATTATAATGAATCATTTGAATTGACAAAAATTTAATAGACTTAGAAAGGATTGTCTTACGTGTACCTTAGTAATAGATGTGTAAAAATTATTTCTTGATTCAATATGTGCACATATATAAACTTTTTATACATTATTTTTGCTTGCAAGTATACATTTCTTATAAAATTAATTTTTAAAAAATCTTATACTGTCTCAAACTTAATTATTAGTATTTTTTCAGTAGAGTCGGTATGTATCGAATTATGAAATTTATTATCAAAGACGAAGGCATTAACCTGTTTTAATTTCGGAAAGGGGGGGGGGGGGGCTGTAATTAAAATTCCAAAATAAATAGTTTAGCTTAATTCAGATATACATGCCCATGTACAATCATTATTTTACTTTCAATTTATGATTTTTATCATTAAATGTTGTAAAAAAAAAACTAAAATCGATTTCTTATAAGATGCATATCTCCTACATAACCCTATCAATCCATGCATGTTTCAATCAGTGCAAGTTTAATTTATCTATAATTTGTGTTATTCTGAACTTTGACGTGCTGCAATATTACATTATACATATATTACATGGCTTCGAGGGCAGCATACCAGAATATTTGCCCCAAGGTGACAGGAAAGCCCTGGAGTGTTATGTCGCCCGATGCCGGCTTTTCTGTCACTGAGGGGCAAATATTTTGGTATTGCTGCCCGAGAATTAAGCCATGTAATATATGGTATATAACGCTTTTAAGCATTGAACCCAAATCGATCATCGAACATATTTATTGAACACTATGTACACATATGTACGTTGAGAATAATTCCGAAATACCCCGTCCTGTTTCATGGCAGAATGTTTTCAGTATGCTGACACTTGTGTTGATAACCTTTGTTGTATTTAAAGAATTTTTCTCCCCAATTAAATCCCATTCCTCTAAATTCAAATAAACAAATCGCAGACGTTGTCTCGACTTTTTAACTTTCGCGGAACTGTTTACATTTGCTTGGCAACTGCCTCTGTGAATTTCGAACCCGACGTAATTAATATGCAGAATGATTGCACGCGAGGGAACATAACTGTGTTCGGGAGGGCAACATAACTGTTTCCGGGGAACATAACTGTATCCGGCGTGATTTGGCAGTTTTTCAGGGCATATGGATAAAAGTATTATATTTGTGATATAATGGGAAAACTTCTTCAAAAATGTTATATAATCATATGTTTGAACTCAGTGGACAGTGTTTATGTTTTTGCGCCTGCGCAATGCTGCGTTGTCAAGGACTTAGTCCTTCGACTAAACGTATCTTTCACAACTAGACTTACGCCACTTGGTGAAACGCAAATTACGCCCGACTAAATTTTGGCGTAAGCCCCGGAAGTACGCCTAAGTTAAGGCTTGAATCTACGACTTTTGATGAAACGGGCCCCAGGACCTTAACCTTAAATTTTTTCAACGTGAATCTTCATCGTTCAATGTAGACTGTCCGCGTGCCACGTTTCTGTTTTACCGGTAGTTATATCAGTTTATAAAAGCCGTTTTAAAGTAACTGTATAAATGAGCATCAAGTGAGATTTTATTTTAAATCTGGAAATAAGAATTAAGGATATCACCTTGGTGGTAGTAAAAGCAACATACTTTCTCTAAAATTTCAGAGAGGATTAGTTACACGTTTTGCAACGACCTTGTACGGATGACGTCATTAATTGTTGTGTTTTCGATCGTTTAGAACGTGTAATACACCGTCTACACGTACGATATATATAAACGAGTAAAGTTATCTATTTCTTATTTATTTCTTAATTCACTTTATTTTTAAGCAATAAAATGAGAAAACTTTATCAAAGGACGACTGCACTTAACGCTGTTTTGGGGGTCTTTTTATCGGTTTTATCTGTTGATTTTAAGACTTAACCGAAAGTCACTTTTATATATTTACTTTGTCAATTGGACACCCAATTTAAATACTAAAACAATTTCAGACTGTAATGAATTAACTAATATCATGAATTTGTCCTTATGGTTTTCCAAATACAGATCATTTACACTTACCTGCCCTTGATTGAACATTATGCATTTTTGAGAGGCGGAGCTAACATATCATCAGAATGAATCTAAAATTAGACTCTATGATTAAAAATGACATGTATTAAAATATACGAAATCCTTATTTTCCATCTTTCCATTTATTCTGCATGGCACAAGTACATTATTTACAAACGTTTTAAACGTATGAGCCCATCCATGTTAGTAAAGAATATTTTAAATTGATGGCTGACCATTTCATGTGTTCGAACACTGTGTCCTAGTTAGCTACATGTATAAACACGCTACCTATAAGTCAGGTGACGGAATTTTGTATTCACAAATTTACCCGAGGAAAGATGTCACGTGGTGAATTATAATATACAATTATGGACTGTTTAGAAGGGAGACATCACCTCGGGTATCAACCCTACTCAGACCTGATAATTGGTGATATCTCCCTTCTAAACAGTCCATAATAGTTTTATTATACTGAAGAATCTAAATAATCAATCAGATATAGTAAAAAAAATAGTAATCAAACCTCTTGTTTTCTCCTACTCTGCTTTGATTCTATACTTTCAAAATATGTCAACAGACAACTTTGACGTTATCGTTAGAATTTATTGTTTACCGATCCAGCATATTTTGCAATTGTACATGACTGTTTAATTATACCCCCGCTTGAAAAGTGGGAGGTTATTTAGTAATCGGGATTTCCGTCCGTCCGTCCGTCTGTCCGTCCGTCCGTCCGTCTGTTACACTTTAGGGTACCTATCTCTTATCCACAACTCCTCTTATACCAATGAGTGAAATTTAATGAAACTTTCACAGAATCTTTATTATATACTAGTATTGCCATTGTGCACCTCCTATTTTACTTTTTGATCCGACACACAATTTATGTTTCCCGGCCACAGCAAAACATGGAGTTTGTCATCAGTTATAATCATATGGGAGGCGGAGGGTATCATTTAGTGAGCTCATTGCTCACAGTACCTCTAATTTTGAATAAGAGTCATCTCGCTTAAACCTCTGTATTTTCATTCAAAAGGTGACAACACAATTGTAACCCTGCATGCTCGCTTGCGCTATTTCATTGTCATCTGAAGGGTGACATCAGTTGTCACCCTGCGCGTGAGGGAGAAATCACGAATTGACTCACCTCACATGACATGCTCTGAACCAATCAGATTGACTGTATAATTCTGAAGGGCAATAATATTTAATGTGCCATAGCCCTTGAGAGGGAGTGTAAGAAGGAACAGCTTTTTTCTCTTTTAAACCATGAGCGCATGTTTTTCTACTAATCTACTTTTGACACAACATTACTTATGCAAATATACAACTACTGTTAAAAAGAGAACAATGCGCTGACTATGTATTAAGTCAGTAAAAAAGTGGGCGTCCTCATTATCATACAGAGATTGAAGAACTTGTGATGACCCAAGTACCAGAAAACATTCGTACATCGTAGATACATACTTTTATTATTGGAATTAGATTAAATTGTAGATTAGATGTTGATCATTCCTTCAGTTAAAAGAAAATAATCCTTGTTTTGAAGTTTATTTTCACTCAAATTTCGCAGATCCTCAAGTGCAGTCTTCCTTTTTTATGAATGATGATTCAATGATTTTATCCAAGTCTTTGTTTTTTTATCAATTAAAAGTAATCGTCAACCTCCATACGGTATTAATTTCTCTCGTTGATTCGATAGGCTATAGCATGCTCTAGGTATGAAACTTTAATTTCTTAAACGAGGTAAGGTATTGACAAACAAGTTGTTAAACAAAAGAATAATTTCAGTTTAAGTTATTATTTTATAAGTTCTATTGTGGATACAGTTTTCTCCTCATCAAAAACAATTTAAAATCAAGTCAAATGCTGTCTGACTTTTTTTCATACTCATTGTTACAAATTTATTATTTACACACAGAATTGTCGACAAATTTTTCCGCTATTTCCCGATCATGACAAGTAAGCCCTTATCAACATCAACGTGGTAATTTTGCCAATGTTTTGTGTTTTTGAAACCATTTTTTAAAATTTGATAATGATCACAAAAAGATGCTAATTACACAAAACACTCGATTTATTGTTTTTAAGCTTCGTCACGTAACAATGGTTTTCATCGGTGATGTTTGTTTTTCTTTCAAGAAAACTCATTTGTTTTAATAAGTCGAAAATATCATATTACATCAAGAATATTACAAATTATTGACAGTGACCCATGTCCATCTAATACGTTGAGATTAAAATATTTTTAGTAGGAATTCTTTGAAAATTATCTATTCAATTATGACATTAAGAAAGTAATAAAGTTTTTTTTTCAAAATTGATTCGAACATGAGCCTTAATTAACGAAAAAGTATCTGTTTTCAATTGAAAAAAGAAAAATCTACTTGTATGTCTGAACAATTTATATCAATAAATAGCTAACAATGTACTTCATCTGAAAATTCTAAAAACTCCAGGAAAGGGGAAGTGTAGTTATTGACATGTATATACTGTAGCATACAGGATACTAGTTACAAAAATAGAATATCAAAACCAACTTTACTCTGTGATTTGTCATAGAGATTTTAAGATGTGGAAATTTATGATCAATTTAGTATGTAAGTATATTCAGTGAAATATATTGTATTGTCTGACTAATACAAACATTAATATGTATAACCTATTTATCATTAGTTCTCCTCTCCTCAAAACATAATTTTAAATATTATCTTAAATACAAAAAGAAGAAGCAAGAAAATGATTGTATCTTTTAACGTTAAAAATAAATGTGATAAATATGTAAATATATATCATGATAAGTTAGGAATACTTAAATAGTGGCTACATTTCTTTACTTATGATGTTTTAGACGTTCATATTTGCTCTACTCCTCATTTGTATTGTTTAATAGAATCATGAGCCTTTTTACTGATCGTTATCTCTATTTATATCATTATGACTGTATATAATTCTTGAAAATTATTTCTAAAAAATGATTAAGTATAGATCAATAAGCAGTATATTCAACAGGATAGAAGTTTTTCCTCTGTTATTAGCAATAAACAATAATTATAGGAAAAATACATTCCGAAAAATAAAAGCAGTACAGAGAGTTTTATTATATCTTTTAGATATGGGGCTATGGGCTGGCTTTAGACTCAGTCTTGTGAATTGCACAATACATTACAGTACAAGGTATTTTAAATTACTCACTTTACAGATGAAACGAATTGAACAATTAAACAATTTTACATCTTAAAATATTTTTGTAATGTTAAACATTTCTTTTACCATTTTTTTTCTTGCGAAATGACGCCTTTTATGTGACAGAATATGTAGTTACGCATAGCAATTTGAATTTTTTTTTACAGTGAATATTGTTATGGGGAAATCGAATCTTTTATACAAGATTCACGCAGTTGTGAATTTCAGCTTCCATATATTTATTTTTCCAACTTGATAGTTCGAGGTATGGGGATATGATTAAAAAGATAAAAGTAACTTTTAGAAAATATCCTAACTATGTCAGTGGCGTATATTCCTATCTGCTGATGTGTAGGCTAGTGTGAAGTCACAGATTTAATCTGAGGTGCAATATGGGTAGATAATATCATGATAGGAAGACCTCTTCAGAAAACTGAGAACATTTAGCTATTTTTACATTGCTTAGAAAGTATAGAAACTTGCTTTCTGGATAATCGAAATACGATCAATACGTTTAACTTCCTACTTACCAAAATATTTCCAGTTATCAATTTTAATCATCCTGTTGCTGTCGATGGTTTTGATATTGTCTGATAAGACTTAATATAACCCTTGAGTATCGGCTTAAAAAAGTAAGACTGAAAATATTTACAGGGGATAGGTATAAAAAAAAAAAGCGGATTCATGCTAAGAATACTTTTTTTTGACATTTGCAACAAAATAATACTAGTATATTAATAGGCAAAATTTATTTATTCATTTATTTTCAAAACACCGAGAGGTCATCTGTTTTCTGTTTCCAGTAATGTTATTGAGCAGCATTATTCCAAACTTTAGAATTTCAATTGAACAGAGCAGAAATTGACTTTACGTCGGTTTAAGTTTATCAACTGAAACTGAGTGCAATATCCCTGACAAAATGATGTGTAAGCTACAGCCTTTTTGCCTATATGGAATATACGGCGCTGTATGTTTCAACAATTATTCATTTTTTTAACAGATTCTAATTTCTCATCATGCAACACAACTTGTCGGATTATCATATCAGTAGAAAACAAACGGTACAATGTCAAAACTAGAAAAATCCGTATTTCTCAAGTATATGCAACATTTACTGGAGACATTGATAGAAACAATTTTACAATAAAGCATTATTTCTGTGGAACTGAATTCAACTATAATCGGAAATCAGAGATGTACGTATTGTGTGGACTAAGGAAAGGTAAGACAACATACAACTGAAGCAATATATTCTTAAGGTAAACATATGACCATTTCAAGATTAGAAATATTCTCGCGTAAAATACTATTGTCACTCAAACTAACACAATACATTTGAGTTAACAGTACCTAATTCATTATATCTCATACATAATATTGGAAAAGAAATAAAAATCATTAATAAATATATAGAAACAAAATTAGATATTGTAATGAGTATTTTTGGATTTTGTATGGCTGAGATGAAAAAACAAAGTAAAAATGTCCAAAAAAAAAATTAAAATAAACAACATGATAATTAAAAACTAGAAAGTCTGCTATTGCAAGCAATATTTAGCTGACATTTATATCATTTTCGAAATAAACTATATGCTGTAAGATCCTTCCATTTTTATGGAAAGTTTCAGTAACATTGTTCCAGCCATCTGCAAGAAAGTCCCCGTGTATCGTTTTCACGAATTTTATTGTAACATATCCCCCGACTTCGTTCGGGGTGACACAACAATAGTATTATCTCCCCTCCTTTCACACATACAATTAGAAATAATATGAAAACAGTAATTGATTTAACAAATATCAACTACTTAAATAAATTTGAAAACTTTCTTTAGACTCAAATTCAAAATACAAAACTGTACATTTTTTTTTAAAAGTTGCAAGATTTAATATCACTCCCGTAGGAATCAGAAGACCTTAATTACAACAACATCATGATTGTGGTGATTGATCAAAGTAGCCTATCTTCAGTAACTTTAGAAGTTTGAACAAGCATTTCTCCCTGCTACATATACATGACTCTATTTTATTTATCATCAGAGCTATCAGCACTCAATTTACTCTTGATCAGGGCCCAATTTTTTTAGCTTCGCAATGCATTGTCTTATATCTTTTAGACCATCGCTAGACATTAGTCGTGAACAAAGGCACGTCATTTGTTTTCATGCTCTACTGTAAAAGTTTCACTTGAATTTTTCATTTTATTCATTTACATGAAGTTTATGTCTTTACTTCAGAACTTACAATGTCTCTTAATTAACAGAGCAAACTGGGTTTAAGCTAGGACTAAATATCGCATTGTTTATTAAAAGGCATCTCCATAAGACGTATATTTAGTCTGAAGCTATTATTTTGTTCCCAAAAAGTATTAATTGACTAAAATCATGACATTTATTTCATAAAGATAATAAACAGTTCAACTGTACCACAAACCAGATTTTCCTCTATGTACACTTTATTGCGAATGTACAAAAATGTTTAATATGTAAAGATTAAATGTTGCAGATTCTGATACAAATTCATGTGCACTGTATATTTTGTTTTTTAAACAGCTATTTTGCTAATTTTTAATCCACATTATACACTTGTATACGAATATGGGAGAAAAATTTGGCGACCGCAATATGAATTTCTGGTGGCCGCCTGGTAGAATATTTCTTCTACCTGACACCTACTGGCTTTCGTTGACGTCAGATACTCTATATCTGCTTTTTTAGGGGAAAAGTTGCTTGGTGACGCATGCCAAACAAACGAGGATTGTACCGGAACTCCAAACGCCGGGATTTGTAGACACCAAGAAAACTTCTATATCCGTGGGAAGTGTCATTGTAATGATGGCTTTACGGAGTTTTCAAATCGATGTCTACAAGGTATGCCAGTTTTTAGTTTCACACTACTAATAAAAATCTTTACGGACAAGTTAGAGGGAAAATGTGATTCAAAGAAATATTTGAATTATTATACATCAGAACTTTGGTGTTTCTTACACTGATATCTCGAAAATCATGGATATGTCAAAGTAAGTTGGAACTCCTGATTTTTTATTATTAAGTACTAGTATTCTACCCTCGATATCTCAAACCGGTCACGGTAGCCTAGTGGTAGAGCGTTCGCTTCGTGATCGGGAGGCCCGGGTTCGATTCTCGATCGCGGCGCCGCGTCATACCTAAGACGTAAACAAAGGTAGTGACTGTTCCTTCGCCAAGCGCTCGGCACTAGAAGTGAAAGTCACGGGTTTTTCAGATATGACCTTAAAAACGTAGGTCCCGTGTCACGATAGGCGTTGGCACGATAAAGAACCCTCACTGCTCAATGGCCCTGAGTGCCGAGTATAGGTCTAAATTTGAAGCCCTTCACCGGCATCGGTGACGTCTCCATATGAGTGAAAAATTCTCAAGAGGGACGTTAAACAATATACAATCAATCAATCGATATCTCAGATCCTTTGATATAAACGATATATATTTTCATGCATACTTTGATTCGATGTATCCCGGTTAGCTTGAGAAAAAAAGATATATTAAAAAAAAGACGTCAATTCATATCTAACAACAAAAATTTATAACAAGCGTAATGACATTAACTTTTCAATCGTCAACTTCCCTTACTTATGCAGCAATATACCCCTCCATTGAACCTGAACCCATCTCTGATGTTTTGGAGGTACGTGTTTGTTCTGCTCCTGATTTGTATTGTTTAATGGACTTTTGGTCTTGAATATTCTTCGTTGTCTCTATGTATTTCATATATCAGACTTGTTAAAAAGTCAAATTTAGTTCGAAATAACGAAGTTTGACCTAAACATGTTAAAAATGGCATCTCATTACACATACACGAACCGATAATAACTTATTAAGACTTTAAAACTTTAAACTTTGAAAAATGTTGTTTATTATGTTAAAATATATTTTGTTTATTTGTACTTAATATGCATAGAATCTGATCCATTTTAAAACAAAACATACCAATGCATTTTTACCGATCAGAAAACAGACGCCTTCATGAGCATTGCGAAGAAGACATACAATGTAATGGAACAGAGAACGCATCAAAATGTTCCTTAAACTCTTGTACATGTGAAGAAGACTTTATCGACTTTCGGAATAAATGTCTAAACTGTAAGTTTAAAAACAATCAGCAATTAATTTTTTCTATTAATTTTATGATGACCACTTGAAATGGAAGAGAATATCTCTTTTTGAACTTTGTAAAATGCGGCTCACATGCCTTTATTTAACATTTTCTTATATTTTATAGATTCTGTGGGGCTTGGTGACGAATGTACACTCCATGCACAATGCCTTAACAATGGACTGCTAACTCATTGTTCTCCAGGAAAGCTTAACAATGTCTGTGCCTGCATGGAATCGTATATTAAAGTTGATCATCAATGCATGTTAGGTAAATTTAACTTAACTTTCTTGATAATACGACTAGTGCAAAATTTTGCATGCTTATAAAAACGGTTTTTTTGAGTTCTACGCGAAAAACCCTCTAATTTTATTCATTTTATTTTTTTGCGAAGAATTGTAGAGGTATGCTATACGTAAATCGTAATGATTTGTCATTTCCACCATCATACTCCGTTAATTAAATAAAGTTTACCATAATGATAATCACCCTGATAAATCGATACGCAAGAGCATGCATAAAACATCTGGATATAAAGTTTTTAAGATTAAAAGTCAATAAAATAATTCAAAATAAAAGCAGAGCAAACAGAGACCCCCAAAACATCAGAAGTGGGACCAGGTGTAATGGAGGAGTGTGCATTCCGTGCCGACCGGTCTCAACCACCAAGTGTTTCTTGTCATGATCAGGGAATAACGGAAGAATCCGTCGTCAATTCAGTGTAAAAAATGGACTACCTATTAGTATGAAAAACGCCAGTCAGCATTTGACCCAATGATAAATTTTACTAACTGACAATGTTATTCTATCGGCCTATGAACTTACAAAATGATGACTTTAAACGAGATTGCTTGTACGATTATCCATCATTGTTACAGCTCTTTTAAAAATCCTCAAGAAGATATTGAATTGAAACTGAGTAGCAACTGATAACATGAATTAATCAAATCGAGAATTTTTCATCCATTTACTCCGGTAAAGGGTTTCAAATTTGTACCATAACTCGGCTGTCAGGGTCAATGAACAGTAAGAGATTCATATTGTTCCCCTCCTACTGAGACAGTGGTCCTCAATTTCTCCTAAGGTCTCGCGAACTTCTCCTCATAGTGCTAAGCGCTTCGATAAGGAAAAGTCACTACATTTATTTTTATCATCTAAGTTCAGTCAAAGCCGGGGGTCAATATTCAACGTTACACCGGGTTCGAATCCATAACCTTTCGATCACGGAGCAAGAGCCCTACCGAGCGAGCTCTCGTGATGGTAATATTTTTAAAGTGTGGATTCTGAAATTACAAAGAAAATAATGTGTCAGTAGAAGAATATTTACACAGAATATTGTTAATACAACCTGGTGATGAACTATTTTGTTTTCTTCTAATGTGTAACTATACGTTGGTACTTGTCTTCAGGTAATCTTTCAATCGGTGCACCATGCAAGCATCACATCCAATGTAATAATTCTGAGAATGACAGACACTGCTCAAGGGAAGGTATATGTTCTTGCATACACGGAAAACCTTGGAACGGTTCATGTTTTACGGGTAATTTAATAAGAATAAGGTTATTATATCTTCAATCATTAAGAAAGTTTGATCAGGAACATTGCAATTTTTATGACCTTGTTATAATTGATTCAAGGGAAAAGATCCTTTTGCTTGTTCGTCCGTCTTTATTCTTTCTGTCCATTTGTTTGTGCACAGAAACGTTAACACTTTCCCTAAATTTTGATGTTTTAGCTATAGCTCTCATATTTCACATGTGTAATTCTTGTGACAAGAACTTTTTTGACATAAAAAAAATTGACTTTTTGACTTTGATCTTAGAGTTTGGCCAAATATTGAAAAATTTACCAATCTTTAAATCTGGCCATAACTTTTGAACCGTTGGAATTAGGGCTATGATTCTTCAAAGGTGTATTAATTTGGGTAAGGTCTCTCAATGTTTTGACAAAAAAGAAAATAAAATGACGATGCTTCTCGTTTAGAAATCAACGAAAATAAAAAAGAAATACACTTTTATATAGAATATTTCAGGGTTATAAACGAACAAAAATTGGATGCATGGATTTATATATATTTTTGACTGATTTTAATATGAAATGACATACATTATACAATCTTTAAATATAAAGAAATTGCCAGTTTTCTTTGGTGCTTAGATACTAGACTTTCTATATAGTTCTATAAAAAATTTTGCACAACTTTTTATCTTCATAACGAATTCTCATAAAATTCTCCACTATACTTTGTCAACATCACTCAAGTTTCGAATTTTAAAATAAATCTATGCAAATACTCGTATTACTGATTTCTAAAAAAAAGTTTGTGTTATGTATCTTGCATCGAATATTAGATTGTTTTGCAGATGTCCAATATTTAGCTAAAAAAAATTCTAATCATGCATTTGTACGTTTTAAAGTTGGGAAATTTATCCAAGATCCTTGTTTTCTTGACGAACAATGCACAGGGACAGAGAATGCCTTTGTATGTCAAAGTGGAGTATGTGGATGTAAAGAAGGATATTTTAGAAAGGATAATACTTGTATAGAAGGTAGTGTAAACACTATTTTACTTTAACAGAAATACTCTTACGTTGATATTTTCAAAAATGATGCCAGAGTTCCTGATTGACAATATACCCCGGTATTTTTGAGGTTTGATAACTATGTCTTCCCACAGTAAATCAAAATTCCTTTACATGGGTACTTACTTTTTTTTTTAGCAGATCTATTTTTTATATTCAAATGAATCAGAATGTGTTCAAAATCTTATACATGTATGTAAAAAGCTAAGAAGAAAACATTCGCGAAAAATTTTGTGGAAAATTTAGAAACCTATGTAGTTTACTAGTATTTGATAGCGAGATGTTCTTTTCAACACTATTCATTATTCTTGTACAGTTTGAAATATAATTTTATTGTATCAAATGATTTATTCAACTATGAAAAAGACTTATCCTTTATTAATATCTTGATACACACATGTCAAATTTATTTTGCATATTTATACCCCCCCCCCCTCCCGCGCTTGAAAAGCGGAAGGGTATATAGTAATCGTTAATTCCGTCCGTCTGTTACGCTTTGGGGTACCCATCTCTTATCCGCAACTCCTCTCATACCACTGTACAGTACCTCTAGTTTAAAGTCTATTGGATTCGTCTTAACAGGGCGTATCATCTTTTTTCCTATGATTACATTGAAATTAGTTGACAGGACTCCTAATTATTTTTTTTTATTTTTAATTTGTTTATAGTGAATAAATTGGATTCCAAATTGTTTGTGATCGGGATTGGAGGGTTTCTTTTCGGTGTATTTTCTACAGTGATCGTTTTTGCATCTTTTTATAAAAGATTGCGTGCAAGAAGAGAAAATCAAAGGTAAAATTAAGTCATGTCTTTGCTTCATGAAAACATTCAAGATGAAAAGGCAATAAATAAAACTTTCAATTACTTTTTTATAGCTTTGATATCCGGCTTTACTCGGAAACAAGAAATGATGATAATCATTACTCATATCTCGAACACAGGGACATCAGAAATCAAATCGTAAGACATTTGAAAGTAAATCATCATTATTCTCCTCCTCCTCCTCCTTATCATCATCATCATTATCATCATCAACATTATTATTATTATTACATCATCAACATTATTATTATTATTACATCATCAACATTATTATTATTATTAAAGTCTTCCGTCTTCAACGGAAGACCTTATTGTTTTTCTTAGGTTTCTTTTCAACTATTTTTTAAGGTCTTTCGTCTTCAGCGGAAAACCTCATTGTTTATGTTAGGCTTCTTTTCCACAATTTTTCTTCTTCTTATTTTTTTTCTTACCGATTTTGTGCACGCGAGTTCTCGATGGATTTTCATGAAACTTTCAGGTCTGATAGAACATCAAAAAATGTAGATCTGTTTTTTTTTTTTTTTTGATGACGTCACTTCCAGTTTGGAGATTTTCGCGATTTTGTCATTTTTAGAGGGTCACTTTGTCCGGCAATGTTCTCAAAAACCGTTGAAGATAGAAGTATGAAATTTTCAGTGATGATAGAGCAGCCTTTGGAGAAGTGAATTGAGTATATCATTGTCACCGGAAGTACGAAGCGCCGTTGCTCGCTATGGTCCGAAAATAGTCCTATCACGAATTTCACAAATTTTGACACCTTTTCAACGATTACTTATTACTTGGAAATATTTTGTTAAAGCATGTATAACAAAAGAAGTTTAGAATTCCGAGATCTTTCAAATGATATTTCGAAAAAAAGGGCTAGCCCCTAAAATCAAGGGCCAATAGGGGCCGAAAGTTTTCCTTTATATCTCTAAAAGTAATGAGAATTTGTAATACGTCAAAGAAGCAAAGTTGTTCAAAACGACAAGCTGAATCTACTGGAGTTATCAAAATACGTCCGGCGTCTTCACTACCGGCCAAACCGGAAGAAGTTAAAAACCATGTATTTTTGCTGTTTTTGACAAGTTTTTGGGTAACATATGTCTCTGGGAGCTTAAATATTAATTTTGCGTCCGTTGTCGTCACTTCCGGTCAAACCGGAAGTAGCAAAAATGGCTTATTTTTGCATTAATAAACTTAGCTTTAGATGATTCAAACCATTTTGTGGCCTTATTTCTCGTTTTTGTTAAAATTGAAAGCTACTTCCGGTCAAACAGGACGGAGGACCTACTCGTTGCTTTGCAACGAGCTTTGCTCTAGTCTTCTTCTTATTTTTTTCTTATCGATTTTGTGCACTCGAGTTCTCGAAAACGGCTCGATGGATTTTCATGAAACTTTCAGGTCTGATAGAAGATCAAAAAATCTAGATCCATTTTTTATTTTGATGACGTCACTTCCGGTTCGGAGATTTTTGCGATTTTGTCATTTTTAGAGGGTCACTTTGTCCGGCAATGTTCTCAGAAACCGTTGAATATAGAAGTATGAAATTTTTAGTGATGATAGAGCAACATTTGGAGAAGTGAATTGAGTATATCATTGTCACCGGAAGTACGAAGCGCCGTTGCTCGCTATGGTCCGAAAATATTCCTATCACGAATTCCAAAAATTTTCGTTCTTGACAAGTTTTAAAGTACATGTAACATCTGTCACTAAGAGCATAAAATTCAATTTTCTGTCCGTCGTCGTCACTTCCGGTCAAACCAGTAGCAAATATGGTTTATTTTTGCATTAATTAACATAGATTTGGGGGATTTAAACAATTTTGGATGTATTTAATCATTTTTTGAAAGATGAAAGTTACTTCCGGTCACTTTACTTACGGTTAAACAGGACGGAAGACCTACTCGTTGCTTGGCAACGAGCTTTGCTCTAGTTACATGTATTATTATTATTGTTTAATTTTTTAATTTAATGTATAAATTCTGTTGCATTTCCTTCGCTTGATAGCGTTCTTATTTATTCCATCAATTACTTTTCAATAGTTTGTTTTATGCTTTAATCACAGGTTAAAGTGGATCACATTTGTATAATTTTACATGTACACGATGTTCACATCATTTCAAATAAAAAGATATTCACACATACATGTATATATTATTATCATATCAAAAACTTTTTTCCTTTGTGGAATCTTCATTTTACAAACCAACAGAGCCAATGTCTTTTCAGGGTCTTCTGGTTTATTTATATATAAGCGCATAAAGTGTATTATTTTCGTTGAGTCAGTGAAATTCATGCATTGAATGTATTAAAAAAGAATTTTAAAGATTGTTTCACTTATATTAATGATTCATAATTGAGGAAGTATTGATCGTCGACAAGCTTTAAGTGGTGTCAATAAAATATGTGCGTATGATGTTTAATTTCAGGAACTATCATCATACAATTCTGAACATCAAGAAATACAAACTGAAAGTGATACATACAATCATCTACACGAGAGACGACAAAATATTTCAGAAAACGATTATGGCTTTTTCCATTCACAATAAAGGATTCCCTACCAAAATGCACTAAAGTGAAGTAATTTTCAAAAAACTTTTTGAATTTTTTATTTTACATTTCCTTCAATGCTAATATTTTAAGATTTGTAAATGATATGTTTTTGTTTGTTTAAATGCTATTTCACGTCCCTCTCGAGAATTTTTTAATCATATGAAGATGCCAACATTTGCCGGGGAGATTGACAAATTTTTGTTCTATGCTCGGCACCAATATCCGTTGAGCAGTGAGGGATATTTTTAGTGTCAGCACCTACTGCGACAAGGGACCTCGGTTTATACGATCTGATGAAGGACCGGTCTCCACGTCCCCCTGTGGGATTCGCACCCGCGACGTAATTAAGGATCAGCTCCTTACTTCGCGACTCTAGAGCAGACACGTGCACTCTAACCACTGCGCTACGCGGGTAACCATTAAGCAGACACTCTATCCATGCTGGTGACCATTGAGCAGTGAGGAATATTTTATCGTGTCAGCACCTAAAACGACAAGAGACTTGGGTTTAAACAGTCTCATCCGATAGACCGGTTTACACGATCTGTTCCGAACCCTCATCGTATGGATCAACTGCGTACCTCGCGAAAATAAAAAAAAAAACACAAGAAATAAGAACCTGAAATTCATTGTGAAAAATTTTGAAGACTAAAATTAACTTAAGTGTAACTTTAAATATTTACATTTGCAAATGTTTGTCCTTATAACACTATAACACTATTTGAGCAAGGCGTTTTTACATCTCGGTTAAACAAGTTCGTCATGTGACCCTAAATTGATTGTTTAGTCATAAACTATCTATGTAATTTCATAGTGGCGTCATAAGTGATCGACGTGTTCAACGCATTCAAATTATACTGTTGAGTTTTGAAAAAAATGTAAATATCTTATGGGTTTAAAACTTCAGTACCTTACTATTTTTAATAAATCAGTCACAAATGTAAATATAACTAAAAAAGTATCTAAAACGGGTTGGCACATGATCAAATCTTCCATAAAGGGATTTGATCACGTGATCAACCCGTTTTACATCCCAATAAAACTAAAAAAAGATACCTTATATCTTAAATATTTACATTTGTTAATGTTTTCCTTATTATAACACTACTGTAGCAATGCATATCTATAACTATACGGTGTCAAGAGGTCATAAATGTGCGTATGGATAATCCTTCGACGTAATTTCTCAGTGATGTCATAAAGGGCCGACGCGCGTTCCGTGGATTACATACATGCCGTTGGGTTTGAAAAATAATGCATTTCACATGTTAAATGTCACAATCAGGCAAATTTAAAGTATTAATTAGTCACAAATGTGAATAAAGTAATAAGGTATCATTTTGAATCATTTATAAATATGGGTTGGTAGGAGATTAAATTCATCATTAAGCCCTCCTTCGGGCTTTATGGTATTTAATCTCGTGACCAACCCGTATTTATATCCCGATAGATGTTTTAAAATGATACCTTATTTCTTAAATAAACTTAAATTTAACTTAAAATTGTTTTGTTAACTTTGATTACGGTAACTTATGTATATTTTGTAAAAACCTCTGAAATAACATGATGGGAAAACAACGAAATGTTTGGATAAAATTTTATTACCGATGTTATGTCTGGCTCAGTCTTGTTTAATTTACATCTCTAAGCTACGTGTACGGTCCTTCGATGATATGTGTTTCTAAGCGCTAGTTTTTCTTTTTAAATTATTCAAACTTGAAACTAGGACACTAAATTCGATTGTAAGGTTTTCGTCGTCAACCTTTTTTTCTTTTTTTTGGTCATGTTCTTCAATTGTCTTCAAGCTTTTTTCTTTAAAAGCTACACCTTTTACATTAATTCTTATAATGAGGGATGTTTACTAACATTTTTGAACGCATTATTAATCAAATTATTACATTGTTTAACATTGAATTATCTAAGGATATGTTCTGAGCATTTTTTGAGAATTTAATTTTTCTACTAAAATGTGTTATGATACATTTGTAATTTAAACTTTTATAATCAATTAGACTAGAATTAAATGTATTGTACAGGACGAAAATAACATAATTTCGGACCATAAAGAGTTTGTAAATAGTTCTTCTTTTACAAATATGAACAATAAAAGTTTATAAATGTCCTGTTTTACTGTCCTTGGAATAGTTAATGACAATTTATGCAACAGAAAATGTTGACATCAAAGTTGCAACTCATAGTGCTTTAAGAGACGAACATAACGTTTGTTTTCTTTATTTTTCTTTGGAAAATTTTCTTTTAAAATGCATCATTATTATCATTTAACATTCTGCAGCGGAATGATAAATAATTTGCATTAGCAATGAGAAACTAAATCTTTCATTTTGCAGAATGTTTTGATGACTTTCAAAACCTGAAGATCATG